TACCGTCACATACACTGCTGGACCAGATGGTTTCAGACCTCAAGGTGCTCACTTGTCCCAATTGCCTGAATACATTGATAAAATTATTCGGATGTCGTTGGAGCAGAATGCAAAAGATAAAGCAGCTGGGATATTCGGTGATGGTAAGATGGTACTTATGAACTACAATTTAAGAATCGAGGCACGAGAAGTACAAATTACTAATTAAGAGATCATAAATGAATAGTCTGGTAAAGGCTGTACTCCTGGTTAATACCTCCACATCGCAGTTTACAGCGGCAGCTTCTAAAGTCGGGATCGTCATAATGTTGTCCAATCGCCGATAAAAAATGAACATCAAGACGAAGGCGATACAAATGCATTTATGAATATATGTATTGACTGACAAAACATATAAAACGCTAATTAATTTTTAATTTTTAATTAATGAGTAATTTTACAGCTCTGAGTGGTACTGCAACTGTTATGGACAGGCGTGTAGCTTACCATCAGGCGCACGACTTCTTCGTCCCGTCACTTGATATCATAAAAATAAAAGAAAACCTCGCATGGGAGGAGATGAATGTATAAAGAAACGGGTATTTGATGACGATGATAATATGTGATCATGTACGTGATGATTGATTATAAAGTAGGTACTGTTATGAGGCTGACAATTTAACCAATTCTCACCATTCGGGAGAAGTAGTTCAATGCCGTCAACTTCTTCGTTGAAATAGTTTTCTTCATCTATCGCCTTATATATAAAACAACTATAAAAAAGCTAGAAGTCGCCCAACGAACAATTTTAAAGGTCTCAACATTCCGGCCCTACTTATTCTCAACGTCTAAACTCTATGAAGAATGTAAAGTTCTGTCAGTACGCCAGTTATTCATCGCAAGTACTATACTTAAAAAACACTCTCTTTTGACGTATGATCCCAACTTCTCACAAAATAAGAGAAGACATGACCTTGTCTGTGCAAGTAAGATATTTAAAACATCATTTGCCAAAAGATTTTTTTGTTTTCTAGGTTCGTACCTATATAACAAATTCAACGCAGTAAATAAAATATATGCATTAAATAGATACAATTGTAAAAAAATAGTAACTAATTGGCTTTTAAACCTGAATTATGAAGATACTGAAAATCTATTTGATGTAATTTCTTAGTTGACGTGTCATAATATATGAATAGGTTTCCAGAATAGTGGATGGCAGTTTTTGTTGCTAAATCCGATCCCAAGTTATTTTTGAACGTAGGGCTATCTGGTGCCTAATTGAAATCAGTGCGTCTTGTCATTTTTTATTTCACTAGTAATTTTGATGCTATAAGTGTCTGAGTTGCAGAGTCAACAAAATAATAATGTTAGAATATAGGTAAAGTTTATCAGTCAATGTTAGAACTCTTATATTTTTTCTCATCTCACCAAACACGTCCACCGTTCATGAACTAGTAAAATTAATCATCTAAACCTACGCAGGTCGCACATTCACTCTAATATGTATCCACATTTACAAGCACTTCGCATATCACTTGCACTTTCACACACATCACAAACAATTACACACACATCACATGCACTTTCGCACACATCACACGCACTTCCACACACACCACATGCACTCAATCATCACACACTCTCTCACACATTTACAATTTAATTTTTATTCTTATATTTATGTTTATATTTCTTATATGTGTTTTTTGATTTTTTATTATCACTCTTTTTTCCAATTAAGTATACATGTAACTTGTTAATATAGATTTATAAATATTGATCAGAATTTCTGGAGGTGGAGGCCTGGTGACCTAAAATACAAGGTATCCTAGTTTAGGCTCCAGCCTCTACAAATTTTCCTGTCGTGTTTTTTACTTTAATATCTCTTATGTTTACTTAAGTTGTTACAAATTTGTTGGAGGAAATAAAGAATTTACTTACTTACTTACTTACTTATACCTGTCATCAACATCATCAACAGCCTACCATAGTCTACTGCTGGATTGGACATAGGCCTCTTCCAATGCGCGCCATTTCGCCCGGTCCTTAGTCGTCGCATCCACGTGCTGCCAGCAGCCTTTCTGAAATCGTCACTGCATCTGGCCAGATGGCGTCCTGCATTACGTTTACCGAGCCGTGATCTCCACTCAAGAACTCGCTTGTCACATCGGTTATTGGTTCTTCGACAGATATGGCCACCATAGCGGGCTCGTTTATTCTTTAGCTTCACTTCAGCTTGCTTGTTCTACCAGTTATGTCGACGATATTAGTCAGAGGAATGTCGTTCAAAGAAAAGAAAGAAACTCCGAGTATACCTTGTTCCATAGCTCGCTAAGCGACTTTTAACTGGTGAACTAACCGTATCGTCAGTGTCTTTATACATACCTATATACAATTAAAGTTTTTATACCCACAGGTCAATATCACCCCAAAATTCATGGACCAGCAGCTTGATTTTGATTGCCACAATAACAAAAAGAACGGGCTATCTTCAGATTCCTTCAGTTCATCGTTGTCAATACCGACGAGGTACAGCTGGGTCAAAAAAGGGAACTTTTAATGCTAATACCGGGTATCAATATTGATTTACTCTTCATTGATTCATTGATTATCTCTTCATCAATACGAAGTACACAAATGTTTGTTTTGATGATACAACTGATTAATGAAGCTGACGCACGTTGCTTTTATTACAATAAAATATGAAGATGTATAATAGAATACTAAGACTTGTGAATTTATACTATGATTCATTTACAATAAATTTATATTAATTTAAGGTATTATCTATTTCAGACTGTAAATTGCCAATCGTTTTATGTTAAAGTTTCGATCCCCAGCCGGGTCAGTGTAGAAATTAAATTTTCTATATTGTCTCGGGTCTGGGTTTTTGTGGTACCGTCGTTGTTTCCGATTTCCATATAACAAGTGCTTTAGCTACTTACTTTGGGATCAGAACAACGTATATGATAATTTCTAAAATTTAATTAATTAATTACAAACAGTTTTTTAATTGACATTGTCTATAAGTAAGTGTGTATTCAATTTATTTGATTATAAATGTAGAATTTATAGCTTAAAAGCTTTTACTAACTCCTAACGCCATCTGTGTTAATATTAAGGAACCAATAAACTCCACGATGGAAGATTTATGGATCTTATTATAAGGGCCTCTTATGGAATAGTAAATAAATGAAATTCTTAAAAAAATTGTTAATTTTAAAATACCTACCAATTAAAGATAAAATATATAATGTTGTTAACTAGGTTAAATAATAATTATTTGTAATTATATTTATTGGATGTCAGGATGATTCACTACCATGATATTCAATCATTTTTTGTGAAATTACTCCAAATTACTAAATTCAAACACCAATGTCTTCTAGCAAATCGTGCCAGATTCTATGCCAACTACGCCACGGAACGCACCAACTGACGTTTTTTGTTTTTCAATGACTTTTTAATCAAACGACTTATAAACCATTATTATTTTTTTAAAAGATGCCAACAGAATTATGTTAACTATGAACTACGTTTAATCCAATGATTTCAAGACTTTTATGAAAGTACTAAATTAGATGATAAACCTTGAGTTTAACGAAGGCGCTCATTTGCAAATAATGACAATGTTGTGTAAGGAAACGTCAGGGGCTCAGACTATAGCCTTGACTCACTCTTCAGATATGTATATTACAATTTGCGAGAAAATAATGAGATCTCTTTGATTTGATCATTTCTATAGTTTCATAATTGGACTTTTTTTTTATGATACCAATTGACGGGACGAACAAGTCGTGCGCCTGATGGTAAGCGACACGCCTGTCCATAACAGTTGCAGAGCCACTCAGTTCATTTAAACACAAAGATCTGAGAGGCACTGCCATTGCGTCCGTTACCTTGAAACATAAGGTGATAAGTGTGATATGTCTGTAATTTCACCAGCACCCTTAAAAACCCGAACGCAGTAATGCTCACTATTCAGGATTTCCCTGGACGAATACTTTCACAAGGAGCTCTACTGTTGTAATGCTCATAATTCTATTTGTATCTATAATAGAATATAATACAAACCATTTATTACAATCCCTCAAAACAAAAAATACACAGAAAGAAAGAATAAAACAAACAAAGCTAAAATAATAACAAAAAAATGAAAACAACAAAGCAAATATTAAATAATAATAATAATAACGCACACACTCCTAGCCCCGCACTAGGGAAACCCTGTATCGCGGGTACCATACACACACACATAGACAACTACAAACACATACAAACATTTCTCTTAGCTACCAGCTTTCCGATAATTGGAGGCTTTAAATAAGTAAACTGTAAGCTCTCATTTTTCTCTGGTTGCTGAATCCGTCCCACCACAGGATGACAGGTGCAGTGGCAGTGCCCTATCAAATATTTGCTATTTAAAACTCTGAGTGGCACTGCAACTGCTGTGGACAGGCGTGTCCGTCCCTTCACTTGGTAACATAAAAAAATATTTTTCGCTATTTTTCTGCGCCATGAAAGCAATAGTTAAATTTCTTTTAAACTCATTGCAGTAAATAATTTAATACAAAAAATTATAATTGTTTTATTGCTAAATTTGTGGTCCAAACTTGCTTTTCAAGACGGTTAGCATTTTTTTCTCGTTACAATTATAATATAATTATTACACTGTAAATATTAACTACAACATAATTTAATCTTGATTTGAAGTTTTAAAATTATAAGCAGGATTTATGAGACGCTTCATATTTTCGTGTATTCAAATGCTATTCTGTAGTTTACTGTAATTAGTAAAAATCAAATTATTTGTCATACAAGTTTTTATTCATAGAATAAATTATAATAATTACATCTCTCATCATGTCACTGACTAACGTCAATACAGTACTATTCTGCAATACTACCAACTTTTACTTATTCATCAGAAGCCTTATTTTAAGTAGATATCTTTGAGATATATTCTTATTCAATCAATTTTGATTTATCATTTGTATTTACAATCATGTATTTACATTTGTTGGTGACTAAGCTCTTAAGGCCAATGCAACTGTTTAAAATGTAAGTCCCTTGTCTTATGAGTATTGTATGTTTGTTTTCTAATTTCATTAATCGAAGACAATTACGTTTTATTTCTGTGTTTGAAAACGCTTGTTATATTGTCTTCAAATTCTTTACTACACAAACTTTCGGTCAAATGGGTACAAATTAAAACGACACGCAATCATTTTTCAATAATAGAGAAGTTTAACAAAACGTTTTTCCCATCGAAATTGAAAGAAATAAATCTTAAATGTAAGGCATTATCGAGATTAAAAAAAAATGGAAACGTATCTTACGTGTTTATTGCGATATGTTGGTAACGTAAAATACTACGTTAGAAAATAGTATTACATTTAGTACTTGTTGTAGTTTTGTCTGAATCCAGCCGAAGCCTGAGCTCTGTATTGGTTCTGCTGGAAACCACCGGCTGCTGGAGCGTCACCGTATTTGCCTGGGTTGTATTGACCTGGAAGTTTTTAGAAGAAATGTGTGAATTTAATGACAAAAAGTAACATGCAAAGCTGACTGTATTATTTATGAGTTGAAGCCACTAAAATAACTACATAATGACATCTATTCCCGATAGAATCCTGTTATCAGTGGAAATCTGCCAGCTTATAATGATGATGAAATTGGACAGCTGGAGGAAGACTGTAATAAGTAACTTTTTTTTCTTTTTTATAACATCAAGCGACAGGACGAAGAAGTCGTGTGCCTGATGGTAAGCTATACGCTTGTCCCTAACAGTTGCAGTGCCACTCAGACCTTTAAATCGCAAGGATCCGAGGGGCACTACCGCTGCGCCTGTCACCCTGAGACATAGTTGACAAGTTCCATGTGCCTGTAATTTCATCAGCTCTCTTAACCTTTAAAACCGGAACACGGTAATCCTGATATTACTGTTTGACGGCAGAAATAGGTAAGATGGCATTACTACCCTGGACGAACTCTTTCACAAGGTGCTCTACTGCTACTCTTTACTTTATCGATTAATGAGGGAATACTCATAAAGGACATCTTTAAATGTCAAACCCAATTGAGCATGTAAGAATAAAAAAAAATTGAGCTCAGACTAATTTTAACATTAGTGCAGATACAAGAGCAGTCCAAGAAGAGGTTGTAAGTCCTAATACTACTTTTCTAAAGAGAGGCTTGTATTGTCAAATTGAAACAAAAATGTGTGACGATAAAGTTAAAAAGAAACAAGATAAATACGCGGCTGTGAATAAATAGTTATAAACAGGTTAATGGCACGAAGACAATCCATCATTCCCAAACGCGAGATCGACGAGATATTGTGCTAAACAAGCATAACTGTGAGATACCCTTCACCAAACTGACCTATTGTTAAACAGGAGCTATTATGTTCTACACTAACATTATGTTAACCCAGTAAAGCGTTTATTAAAGCTTCGTTTATACAGAGTGTTACAAAAATGTAATTATAAACGTTGTGATTTCAAACAAAGGTAAAGCGATCAGAGTTAAACACCGTATGTACTTGGTTAAAATTATCATTCAACACTTTAATTGCATTAAAATTAATAAGAAATATTTAAACTTGAACGAGGTTTCGGGTGACAATAAACTGACAGCCTTAGAAAAAGACTATGTATATATAATATATGGCAACGAAATATCAGAAAAAAGACTACAGATAAAGAATATGTAGCAAGTAGCTATAAGAAGACTTTGAAAATGTAGATTTTTCTGACCAAAATGAAGCCTTGATTGTAAACAGACATAATGAGATACATTTAAAATACTTTGGTTTATAAAGTCTCTTTCCCAAGCTTCGGTTTTAGAGAGGTCATTTCAACATCTTAAAGGTCAACGCAGACTAATGTTTTAGACCAGAACAACCTGTAATTTCGTGTCGATATTATGAACATTCCTTTAAGGTTAAGGTTTGGATCAATGTCGGTCCAATTGTTTTACAGCCTGAGTGCAATTTGTTGACTGCCAGGTACATGAAAGTTAGCATATGCCAGTTTCCACAAAAACTAGATATAGACTACAAATTTTGATGTATGCTAATATTAAGTAATTACTAAGTGTATTGATTTACGAGATGAAATTGTTAATGTAGCTTTTTATAACAACAAGATGAAGTGGTCGATTAATAATGACAACGAGGAAAAGTTAACGTTAAATTCCTATATTAAGTAATACATGTTCTGAAAGAGTTATTGTAGTTTCTTAAGAGTATTTTAAGGGTAATTGTGTCAAGAAGTTGTTTCTTCTAAATAAAATAAGATACGGAACATTTAATTTTGCCATTTAAAGTTATTTCTATAGTCTTTTAGAGACTTGCAGCTCTCAATCAAAGGATCCCAAATACCAATAAAGAGAACAAAGCCCACATTCATAGCAATTTGCTCCGTAATCTCAAATCTAGGTTGGGCTGTGTCGGTATAGGTTAATACTCGAGGCATGTATTGCAAGGTGTGGGTTAGTAATTTATTCTGTGTTGGGAAATTTTGATACATGCTATTTTAAGGACGTATGAATTTGATAAAGGATTGTGTATAAAGGATTAATAATTAGATGAAATTAGTGATGGTCGGTAGTGAATTCTATAAGACAAATAGGTGGAGAAAAATGAACGAAGGTTATAGCCGAATAAAAAAGGGTGATAATAATGGCATAACCTGTAAAGAAATTTAAACGTACGATACGATTCTTAAAATCTCATTGTGCACCTATACTATACAACCTGGTATCCAGTGCTTTAATATCCCTCTAAATCAACTTGAAAAACAACAAAACAGATCTTTGAAAAAGACAAACTCTAACAGACACAAAATTGTAAAATTGTCACTTACCATCATCTATGATGCCAGCAGCCTCATCCCTAGCATTTTGTTCTAGAGCTTTCAGAATAGCCTCGGGAGTAGGAGGCGCAGTGGGAATATGAGCTCCTTGCGGCTGGAAGCCACCCTGACCAGCAGCGTAACTGATGGAATAAACCTGACCATCGTCACCGGTGTATTGGAAACCACCCTGGGCTTCGATGCCGTCAGCCTGGAATTGAAAAAGATCTTGGTTAATTTCTATGATAAAACAGTGTTTGAACGGAGCTTACATTTTGTTTTAGATAGATATTTGGTAGCTGACGCGAAAAAGACATCTCCCGTGAATAAGTTCTTATATTTACAATAGTAATGAAAGGAAAAAGATACTATTGTTCGGTACCATATAATACAACAACATAAGACAATATTGTTACAAAAATACAAGAAATAATTAAAGTAAATCAAGTACGAGCCAACTGAGGACATGCTGCATGCCTCAGAATAGAGAATATGAATGTATTGTTGTAGAAGGATGACCAGTAGGCAGACCTTTTATATTTCTTTCCTGTGCTCTTTACAACAGCGAAATAAGTGAGGCACTGCACTGTTAAAATATCGCTACTATATAATTCCGTGAAAACAAAATAATAGGAAATTACCCTGTTAAGATCTTCTAATATGTCGCATCTATTAATAATACTATTCGTATGCTATGACACATGCGTTAATAAATGCATAACGTTTCATAAAAGTTAATAACATTATTACCCAGTAAATCAAAGCATCCAAAGATTAACATATATAATTACCATTTAGCTCAATAATAAAACTTACCGTGAATAATATTTACATATATATTTTGAATTCATAAAGACTCAAAGTTTTTGTATGTTGTGTATGAATGGCATGAGCCTTGGTGTAAAGACATTAATAGGATTCGAGGTACTAGAATTTGCATGATTATGCATAGTAGTAGGTTAATCATAATAGAGCAGTTGTCTAGTTCCATTGACAATACTTTATGAAGAACGTGTATAAAAATTTTCGCAAATGATGAAAACGGAAGGATGAAAAGAGATGACGCATACATGCAAATGAAATTTTTGCAGAGCAATGACAAATTTGGTACATTTTTAAGTTCTATCACATAACCAGCATAACATTTTCTAAGCACTTTATATTTAGAACTGTTAAAAACTCCTCTATAAATCTAAATAATCCAATGTTAACCCAAATAAATACTAATTATGTTACGTAAATGTCACAGGTATTTTATTTATTTATATTTTATTAATTTTGAAAACAGTAAAAAGGATGAAGCTGCAGTACTTACAGAATAATAAATACTCTCTACCGCAACTCATTCTGCAGGGAAAATTCAGGGCCGCAGAAGACGTGGTCGTAGAAAAGCCACATGGCTTCAAAATCTTGCAAAATAGTTCCACATAAATACCATATAACTGTTCTGAGCCGCAACATCACAGACCCAAATTGCCACAATGATAGCCGACCTCCGGTAGGAGATGACACCCCAAGAAGAAGAAAAATTTTGTAATCTTTTATTTCATATAAAGAATAGATGATCAAATATTTTTAAGTTCACAAATGATAGAATTTTTTTGTTCAAATTATCCGGCCCTATAGTTTCTCATTATGACCAATCGGTTCTTAAACAGGTATTCATACATATTATTTCCCGCGAAGTAACGTTTGCGTAAACATTCAAAGTCGACAGATGGCATTACAAATATTTATTGCCATCCTGGATTTCAGCCTCTGATTGAACTCTGACCTCTTTCATTTGTAACTAAGATCAGGTATTAACTTATTAATTACACGTATTACATGTAGGAATTTAGCAACTTATTAACAGTATCAGGACTTAAACATCATTCATTTCAAAAGACTGCAGAGTCGATGAGAGTTTGAGGCCAACCAGACAAGAGAAAAATGTGCAATCAGATTTTACTCAATCGTGAAAGACAAATAATTACGGAGGCACGTTATCTAGTCGAAACATAAACAATACATTGATGATGACGAATTTAGAACGACTGGAGATATTAGACTAATATATTCTCAAAAAGACTTTCCCGAAATCGCCACCTTGTGGTAAACGATTAGGATTGCAATTTATCTGCAACATTTTTATGAGAAGCATTATATGCATCGTATGTAGCAACCTCAAATACATAATACGCCCATGTATCGCCATTGCACATCCATGGTTACATGAATGCAACTATGAAATTTGTTAACTAGCTTTCGGGAAGCTCATCAATCGTTATATAAAACTTCCTCAACTGCAAAATTCAATTCTATATGTAGCCATTTTGAATATAGAATTTTGATTTTTATTATTTTCATCAGCCGTAGTAGCCTGATGGTTTGACTTACAGTACCTCAAGCAGAGGCCGTGGGTTCGAATTTGAGCTCGCACTCCAGTGTTATTCGGAATTTATGTGGGAAATTTAATTTGAAATTTACCATAAGCTTTTCGGTGAAGGAAAACATCGTCATGAAATCCACACGTTGAAGGAAGTTCACAACCCTGGAAAAACGTGTGAATTCCCAGTCCATATTGAGCCAAACTGATCTAACCCAAACCCTCGTCTGAGAGGTGATCCATGTCCAGCAGTGGGACATGATGATGATGATTTTTTTTCTGAGTTCGAAGCCGTTACCGCCTTCTATGGACGTTAGGGACACTAACTGATTTACGATAATGTGTTGTCGGTTGTGGGATATAAGATCGTAACTCTTGTATGCCTGTGATTTATAGATTTTGCACCGAGAAACCAAATACCAAATCCACGTTGAACACAAATACGGCTAACGTTCTTACTTCACGATTCACAGACATTCTGTGTATCACAAAATTACCTGTACATAATAATTATACTCAAAATCAACATAATTATTTCGTAAACGCTACAATGAGAGTTAAAGTGATATGTGTACAGACAGAGTAGTTGCAATCATTGGGCAATCGTTACACGCATTGATGGATAGTTTGACCGTTGTACATTGCATTTTTTTTTTTGCATGAACTACAAGCTATTCACGATTCACCTTCGAGTACTCTCGATTGAAAAGCGAAGTTCTCCCGCTGAGCTCCCATTATTCCAGCAGCAGACATATGTAAAAAATAGGAGACGTAGGCACAAAAGTTAAAGACTCAGCATTTTCAGTATATGTCACCCGTAACTATTTTAATTTGCATGATGCATTTGATGTAGTAACTTTTGTAGCTGCCAATATTATGTGCATACTTTAAAAATGAATATCTTTTATTAAATTTAAAAAAATAGCATCATTCGTACTAAATGACTTCATTCTGTGCTTTATATAATGTGATACTTATCGAGTCATTGTCATTTTGTTACATACATGTACGTACAAGCTTCATTTTCTGAAACGGAAGTATTTTTACTTTCTTTATTATTCCAAAGTCTGTGTAATTGCTAAGTAAAGTAAAGTTTACTTACAAAAAATCCAATCTGTCACTATCAACGCAATTAAATTTGTCAGTTTAAATTGCCTCATAACTCCAGCCCAAACAGAAATTTGTATCATCAATTTAAATAGATGTGCCATCTAAAACGGTAATAGTATGGTTTGCACAACTCTTGACCTTTACCATGGCTAGCCACTGCCCTTTGCAAGTGATTGCATCTAGTTTAAGTTTCTTATAGGTCAGTGAGTTCCTCTTCTTCGTACATGTTTCCTTTTAACGTTAACCATTTATAGATCCATTTAAATTACGGGTGTACTCCAGGGAGGTGCTCTAGGTCCTAGCACATTATTCAGTTCAAGTTCGGATTGGCCACGTGTTTTCAAGTTTAGTAACATTTTTCCCACGATCTGATTTGCGTTTGTGTTTTGGACTCTCATATAGATAAGAAATAATTAATGCCGACTTGTTTAAAATGTACTGGCAAATCTCTTAATGAAAATTTGCAAATCGAAGAAAATTCTTTTATTTTTACGTTGACAAGTTATGTATTTTATTAAAATTTCATTTGCGTGTTAAGAACCGTGACCAGAAGTAACATAAGTAATACACGGGATTCTCAAATCGCAAGCGTACAAAGAAACTCGTTTACACTGTATTTCTTCAATGCCTAGACGTACCAAAGCGTCCGTTTTCGAGTCGTCTTTATACGTTACGACGATTTTATTACGTTTTACTGCTAAATACTCAATTGCAAATGTTAAATGACAGTTGGACATTCAAACTCGAAAGCCGTGTATATACTATCGAATATATGTAAAACAATTTCGACAAGTGTACTCGAGGAATACATTTCATCAAACGTGTATTGCGTTGTTCTTTGAGAACTTTTCTTAACGATGTACTTTTGCCTTTTTCGTCTTTTTTATCTATCACAATTTGTGATGGATATTCTGGTTTGCGGTTTCAGAAAAGACAGTTCTGAATATGCTAATTTCCGACCACACGTAATGTTTTGTGTTGCGGTTTCGGTGTTAGATTCTGTGCATTACGGACACGGCTTTACAACCAATTTATTTCTTACGCCCAAGCAGGTGTGTCACACCGGCGAATAAATCATTGGTACACAATACATAGCTGGCCTACTCTTCAGTACCTGTGTCAATAGGATTAGCGCTTGACCGTTTGTTGTTCATTTTGTTTTCTATTGAGCTAGTTCCTAGTTCCTTAAAGGCTGAATATATTTAATGTAGGTAGTGTTGATTCTCGATCATAAATACTTTCTTTATTTTCTATATCTATAATTCACACGCGTGGTGTAATAAGGCCACGTTTGAAAAATGACAACTTTTCAGTAGAGAGGTATAAAGATTCTACTAAGGAAATAAGCCAATAACTTTTTTACGATCAATTAGGAGAGTTATAAAATTTCACATATACATAATTTGTTTCATGTACTTCGTATTATGTTTATGACTTTCATGTGATGAAAGCACTTTTGGCGTATGACCAAGTGCCTTTATTACACCAAGGGTACGAGTTATCATTTTGTACAATGCTTTTTTGACCTATTCATCATTTTTTAATTTCTGAACAAACGTAGCCACCGTTAAAAATGAATATTTGACCTCTTTACCGGTAAAAACATTTGAAAAATTTTTAAAAGCAGGTACATTATTAACTGATCGGATGAAAATGCGCACGATTTTGGTAAATGGTAATCAGCAGTGGGTAAATTTGGACCGTGTATGATAATGACAATGGTATTCATTGAATCAAAATCGATATCGATTTAGCGGGTTCGTTTTTCTAAAGATGCAATTCTCGATTTTCTATTTGTCCCATTTAAATGATTGGAAAAGTTTCCCGGATTAATAATCATTCATTATGTTGTCCATACAAGTATAAAGGACATTGTTTATCAGATGCCGTACTTACCTCATGACCCTGTTCCTCAGCCTTGATACCGTTCTCAGTTTCATAGTTGTATCTGAAGGAATCTTCCTTGACGTCAGCGTCAAGGGCCAGGATCCTTGCGTTTCTCTCATAAGCAGCTTGGGGCCTATTGGATTGCTCAGGATATTGGTTGTTGAAGCCGGCGGCAGCGGCCAGGCCGAAGAAGGCGGAGATCAGGAACTGACAGAAAAATAATGTTATTTTAAGTATGTATTTAAGATCAACTTTGAAACACTACACCGATACGTAACGCAGAGAAATTCGCTGATTTATTAATTAGCGATTAAACAATTGAAAAAAATTTACATTCGTTAATATGTCAAAGTCAAAGTGAAATGTGTCTTTATTTCATACGTAAACAAATCAAATTTGAAATTATCACATTGATTTAATTCTACTACTCATTCGTAAGGCAGATTCCATTGAGAAGAATAAGCAAGAATCTCTAGGATTGCGTAAATAAACATTTGTACACATTTATCATTTATATATAACATTTATTTCAAACAAAAAGTGGGGTCATGAGTACTATCAAAATCCTACTGGACCCAAAAGTGGTACCAACAGTCCGATAAGAAACGGATCACCAAGGATTTTTGTCATCCAAGTACAGTTGTACAGAAAGTTACAGTGTTGTTTCGTAAATGGTAAATTTTGAATAACATTCTACAATAAGATTCCAATTGATGAATCTTATTATAGATTATACATTCCGCTTAATTTTATTTCATTTTTAGTTTCGATTTTATTTTATTCGGAACAACAACAGCTATTTACATTGAATGTTTTTAGGTAAAGCTAGTTAGTGCCAATTACAGTTGTCCTCATTAATTTTCAAACATGTAAGTTATGGTAAAAGCAAGGTAAAAGTTAACACCTTAAAAAGAAAAAAAACAAACACAAAAGTATCTACAATAATAAGCACAACACAAAAGGGTAAAGCAATGTGAAGAGTGCAATCTTGACCTACAAAAAAGCGTACATTAAAAAAGTTATTAAATAAAAAGACACGACACAAGAAAAATAAACCAATTCTGTATGTGGTACACCGCACTGTACTGACATTTAAATTTCAGTTAATCTCAAATAAGATTGTTAACAATTTCCTTTTAAAGTGTGCTCAGATCCTACAAACGGGTCCAGTCCATAAAATGTTTGATGTAAGCATGCCTGATTCCCGTTGATATGTCCATTGTAATATTCTCAAAGCTTTCTTTGTTGTTATATACAGGACATAAACAAACCACATGCTTAGTCATTTGAATTAGAACATTAACACATTTATTGCTTAGGTGATGAAATTTTAAGATACAAAAACAAATCTCACGTCTTTGGTATAAAGGCTTTATAGGTACAATTACAGAAAATTCCATTAAGGTATTTTAGCATTTTAATACCCCATGTAGGAGTTTGATGTTACGAAACGTTTGGTATGCATAGGTTTCCGGTGGATCTATCTAGGTAAGGTTGTTAACGCCTACAATGCGTTGAGTTACTCGTTTTTTCTTTTCATTTTTGGTTGAATTATTATTTACATATTAATGGATTCTTTCTCGACTACGAATTACGCTTTATTTTGGTCTATCTCCTCTGTTTTGGATGTTATTATGATATTGTTTATCTGAGTTTGTGTTAATAATTGCACTTAGCAATAATTGTAAAAAATGTTGTAAAAAAAACTATCAATCAATATCTAAAATTTGATGGCTATCAAATTTTTATCGAAAAATTTAGTTAGAAATAATAGAACTCTTGTGTCATGACTTTTTACAACACATAATAGATTTACCAAAAATACACTTTATTTGACACTTTCTAGATCTGCATTTAGTAGAATCTAAGCTCAAATATGCAAGCGTCCTCCGCGACGACTCCCACCCTCGTCCTGCACAGATTTATTACCGTTAATCTCCGTACAGAGTGCTAAAAAACCGACCTCAAAAGTCATTCATCCTCTACTTTGCTACCATTAGAGTTCAAATGGGACCACTAAAGAGGTACCATCTTTCCAACAAAAAAATAATCATCAAATTCGGTTCACAAATGCCGTTAAATGGAGTTATCACATACAAAAAAACAGAACCTCCTCCTGTTTTCAAGTCAGTTAAAAATTAACGACGAATTAGTTACTAATTTTTTTTCCTTTCGTATTATTTATCAAGTTTAAAGATAAACTTGAATGAGATGGAAGTTATTACTTAAATTTGTTACCGTTTTAAAAAGCAATAAAATCACAAATGAAAATATCAAGGTTTCGTTGTTATTGAGTTTTTTTTAGACACATGCAACACCAATGTAGGCCACGACGTCGGTTAACACCAGATGAGATAGTGGCCAAGCGTGTGTCTATTTTAAATAATAATAATAATATCGAGTTCTTAGGTTTTCGCGATTGTTACACATACGTTGACACGGTCAGTCAACCGTGACTATGGGACCTGTAAAGGGCCCGAAACGTCGGTTTGTTTGAAAAAACAAATATACGCGATTTAAAACCGGAAAAATAGTTTCATTTCCTAAATAATAATAATAATTTTGTTTCATGATACCAAATGACGGGACGAACAAGTCGTGCGCCTGGTGATAAGCAACACGAATGTCTATAGTAGTCGCAGTGCCACTCAGAGCTTTAAATCGCAAAGATGTAATTGGGCCTGAGATAAAAGTTGACAAGTCCCATGCACTTCCATGGACAAACACTTTCACAAGGAGCTCTAGTGCTCGTAAGAATATATCTCTTCAATGAAGATCTCCTCTATGATAACGTTTCTCGTTTCTCCTCTATGATTATATATATACTAATAAGTGATTTCTAAACAATAAAAAATAACATAACAAAGCTATGCGTAAGCGCATTTTACGTCATCAAACTACACAAAATATTTCTTAATGCGGCAATTAATCTACCGTATTTGATGCGGCCTACTGAACCATTGTTCTTAAAAAAAATTATGATAATGACTCGACGGCAATTATTGTTCTACACAGACTTCAGGAAATCAGTAATCCAACATTTTGAAAGCGTCAAGGTAATTTTGTAGGTCCGAGACGAAGGTAACAATAGAGGGTTGTTTTTAAAATACAAACAACTTCGCAAGACTATATTACTAACATCATAAACAACAACATTTAATTCGGTTCTATGACTTTTAACAATTTTGTTTTCATACAACAATAAATAGATTTAAATAGATCGCTCTAAACGGTAATAACCTTCTGCAGGACAGGGATGGTAGTCGTCGCATAGGACACTTGCATGTTAGAACTTATTCCACCAAATACAGAGAAAAGATAAAGATATAGATAAAGATAAGAGATAAAAGGTGTTGTTTATAATGTTAGTAATTAGTCCTGTGAGGTTGTTCGTATTTTAAAAATAACATTGTATCAAATATAAATAGTAGGCAGTAATGAATTATGCAAATTAATGTTCTTTCATTTACGTTTATTAGGTATAATGGTTAATATTAATTTTTATTCTAATTCACAATGATTTACCTTCGACCACACTATATAGTAGCGTACAATGCTTAATTAATTTATTCATAATCAAGTGATATTATAGGTGCACTATAATCATCACTCAAGATGTTCGATTTTGTTAATTTTATCGTAAATATAAAAATCACCAAAGAAAACTTCTCTACAGGACAGAGACTTCAAATTCCCGAAGATATCTTTTATTGAAAAAATATTTTATACAGTGAGGTTACAAAACTTTATACATATTAATATATTTTTAGTCAAAAATCAGATAATGTGATGTTCTTACATGACGTACTGTTTGAGTATAGTCTGTGATGCTGTAATTTAACAATCGTTTGATCGACAAGTGTCTAAAATCTTCACAATGCAACATAGCTTTGTGAGAAAATTAAAATAATAAACAAAAATGGAGAATTTTTGACTACAAGTAATATTATTATGATATATCTATTGTTTCTTATTCTTCTTTATGCTCACTCGTATGAGATATTTATATTACAAAATTCCCTTGAATTAGTACTGATGGAGATACCGTGAATTTTATCCTAAATTATAAACAATCACAAACATCTATACTCGATAGAAAAGTTGGTTTTCTACATTGACGCGGCTGAGAACCGAATCCGGGACGTCGAAGATGACGACACCATGATAACCGGTGTGAAAAGTCACTACAGAATTCGTCAAATATTACATATTATTATTTATTTTTATCCTAGATTAAAATTACTACAATATAAAAGTCACTAAATGATCTCTCTCTAGAGAATTTAATCCGCTGAAAGTGACCCGCGGAAAAGTGTCACGCTATTCAAAAATTTCATTTCACTAATCGATTTGAAAAAATCGATAAAAAGCACTTACCAGTTTCATGGTTGAGATGTGGTTGTTCGGAGACTGTATGCACGAATGTAGAGATGCCAGCTTCCCTTCTATTTATATACCGAGAGGTTGCAAAATTTTATACATATTAGACTCTACTTTCCTGTAATATTTTGAGGTTCTTAATTTGAAACTTTCGTGGTATTGTATTGCCATTTTAGTCGAAAATTAAAAAATATGATGCTATATTTTACAATTTCAATTATTGTATCGAGTTCTTAGGCTTTCACGATTGTTACACATAGGAAATGAAGCTATTTTTTTCGTACTTAAATTGAGTATATTTCTTTGTTTTTCACACAAACAAACGAGGCCTTTACAGTCAACCGCGAGATCTGTAAAATGTCCAAAACGTTAGTTTGTTTGAAAAAACAAATATACGTGATTTAGATAAAAAAACAGAGTTAGTTATAAAAAGCTGGCAGAATATTATGTAAGAATTTTTGCAAGTAACATTATACCGAAATCAAATTCACCGAAATTTAAAAAATTACAAATTAATTTATAGAAATTCTTCTTTGAGAATTTTCTTTCTTAAAATAGTCTGTCTACATTTAGATTGCACGTTTATATTGTAAACGTATTACAATATTTTAAAAAGAAAATACAATATAAAGCACCAAATAATCAATATCGGGTGAGAGGTTTAATTTCCGAAACTTTTCAAATTATATTTTATCTACAATTTTTTTACGAAAAAATAAAACGGATAATTTATGATGCGAACTTCATATTTTAACCTTGTCGATGTCATTTATAAACAAAACAGTGAGCTATTTAGTTTATTCATTAGGCCAACAAATACCAACAGTGTAACTTATTCAATATTAAAATGACAAATTCAAAAAACGACTTTGGAGGTATGAGACAGGATTACCTAAACATGGATCAAGTTTTGCAGAGAACGAAGCTACCATTAACCTACTTAAAAAAATCGAAATTATATTTATGTCGCAGTAAAAGTATTTCAATATATTCATATAGTATTATTTCCCAACTATAGCTAAACCAAAATTAAAAGTATGCATATGATCACCTTAACTGAGTGATAGAATAATTGATTTTTTAATGAACGGAACGGAACGAATAAGTCGTACACCTGGTGCTATGCGACACGCCTGTCTATAGCAGTTGCAGAGCTACTCAGAACATTAAATTACAAAGATATATGGGCACTGCGACTACGCTCAACACCATCTGACATAAGTTGACAAGTCCCATGTGCCTGTAATTTCTCCAGTACCCTCCAAAACTTGGCGTCAGAAATATAAATAAGATGGCAGTACTTTCCTGGACAAACTCTTTCACAAGAAGCTCTAGTGTTACTAAAATAACGTGAAGGTAACGTTCACCAATATCTGACTAACGCAGCGTTTCCCGGGTCTTCTCCCCTGCCATATTGGGCCATTTTATGCGACATTTTTATTTAATAAAAGTCACAATATACCGTTACAAGTAGCAACATTACCTCTTTTGGGTTCTTTGGTTTGACGGTATCTGCAAGTCAAATTTAACAATTACATTAGATTTTGAATAGGGCACGTGAATCTAAATAACTTATCATACAAGTTATCTATTGACAAGCGCCATGTGCCTGTAATTTCACCAGCACCCTTAACCTTCAAAACTGGAACGCAGTAATGCTCACATTACTGCTTGGCGGCAGAAACATGTAAGGTGACAGTACTTCCCTAGACGAACTCAGCTCAACTGATCCTGCTTAACAGGTTAAACGAGTACAGTGTAAGACAGCAAGGCGCTGATATTCTTCTTTCCGGTTAATTACTTTTAATTATAATTATTTCCCTTAAATCTACATCCAATAATTGTTTGCCTTTGTATTAATAATCATAACAAACTAAAACAGTATTTGTTATCTCCGACATCAAAAGTCATTCATCCCCTAGTTTGCCACCCTTAGAGGTGGAATATTTTTTTCAAATTTAAATGGGACCACTTCTGAGGTACGCTCTTTTCAACAAAAAAAGAATCATCAAAATCGGTTCACTAAGTTAACGCGTAACATACATACAAAAAAACATACAGTCGAATTGATAACCTCATCCTTTTTTGGAAGTCGGCTAAAAAAGGTAACATTATCCGTGAAAAGGTTGACAGTATCTGTCAAAAGGTTAAGAAATAATTAGTAGAAACAGTGGTTTAGGCGTTAACATCGAGAAGGAAACAACCGAAAATAAAAAACTATCGTGTTGTACTGAACCTTACTCGGATAGCCGGAAAAATGTAGTTCAATTTAGTTAAAAAAAAATCAATTAAATTGGTCTATAAGCTACCACCGACAACTGAACTTTTTTTTTTCAGGTCACAGTCAAAATTTCAGGAGCGTAGCAGGTACAGGTCAATAGTTTCTGCCTATCCCGGTGGGAGACAGGCATGATTATATGAATGTACGTTACACTCAAAATGATCGCCAAGTAGGTACGTTTTTAGAACATTATTACTGTATCAATGAAAATAATCCAATTTGAACTCATTAAATTAATTTCCTGGTTAGTACGATAAAGGAGAACCAAATGCAATTTTATGGTTTACTTTTGCCCTTTTATTACACTTAAAAGTTACATATCTAAAAAGTCAAGGCAAAAATAAACTTATTTTATTTGACTAAATCAATTTCAAGACACGTCACTTAACGTGATCTGAAACTGATATACATACACACAGTTATCTAATTCAATTTTATAAAAGTTATATTTAAATTCAATTATTACAATAAAAGAACAAGCTACCCAGAAGAACAAAATACAAACAGAAGGATGCAACAGCCGGCGTTATTGCTAAATATAATTTTTTTCCAGAAAATCTTAAGATGGCAGGTAAACCTAGTAGTATAATTATACTCACAAAAATAAAAACCAAAATTAAATCAACTTACCTATACTTCGTTTTAATCTATTTTAAACAAAATGTTAACAAACATGTCACTGACCCGACTTTAGACGGTTTAGTGATGGCCAATTGTAATGCTAACTACAAATCGATTAACTAATTGAATGAATCAATTTGTTTAATTGAGTCATATTAGCGATTTTCTTACATAACCTATAAAAGCATATTTAAAATATCCGAAATCTTAATTTTAAATCCTCCTTCAAAACTTTACATTTAGATACTCGTTCGATTGCGATTGAAATATTCGATTTACTAATCGATTACAAAAGCTAATTGAATAAACCAAATGTTTATTTTCGTACAGCACTATGAAACCATATACAAGTCATAGAAGTATAATAGATGAAAAATAACCTCATTTTTGGACTACCATTTTTCAAATACGATTTTACGATGCTATTAAAGTGAATATTGTTGGAAAAGGTGATGAGATATCAAGTCGAAATCTTTGAAATACTCGTGAAAGTGTTACTTGTTCGATTTATAGAGTGATTGTTTTAGAATTTTAACAAAACAGTTTTGTTTACTTTTTGTTTAAATGGATTGGAACAGACTATATATAAACGACAACAATGACAGAAAAAGAAACAAGAGTAAAAAAGAAGAAAGGAATACTTTTACAACAGGATAGTGCATTTTAAGAAAACATTATTAACCGACTTACAAAAAAGGAAGCGATAACTTCGGCATCAAAATCGGTTCACAAATTTCGGAGTGTAATCGCGTAACGCACACACTAAAAATATATAGCTAATCGAATTGAGAACCTCCTCCTGTTTTTAAAGTTGGTTAAAAATGTCATTTATTTCATATTACAGTCGTAAGAAGTTAAAAAAAATATTTCCAAGGATAAGTGACCGTCGTTAATATAAACACTAATTATAAACATATTTGAACATTTACTGATTTTATTACACAAAATGTTTAAAATTACAACTACGTCCAATAAAAATAAATGTTTATTATATTTGTTCGAAAAAATCCTCTACACAGAAAAAATAATATCCAATAAAAGAAGCCTGGTATAAAAACGTTTCGTCGTTTGTAATACATTTCAGACATGCGGGTAGGTGTTTATAGATTGCCACAAATACTCATATGAGGGCGTAAAAATTGTAATAATTTAGACTTAATTAATTAATAACCTCTGAACGCAGTGCGAAATTATTGTAACCAAATTATATTTGACATAATCAACTTTCAGTTCTGTAACAACGTACAAACTAGACAAGATCTGGTAGGTGTAGGAATTTCCTAAACTGTGCGAGAATCCAAAACACGTCATGTTTTTGTAGCAGAAGAGCTCCTTGTGAACGGGTTCTTCCAGTGAAGTACTGCCACCTTATCTATTTCTGCCGCCAAGCAGTAAAGTGAGCATTACTGCGTTTCAGTTTTAGCAGGACAGAGTGCTGTTCAGATTCCGTGACAGGCGCAGTGACAGCGCCTGTCAGATCTTTGCGATTTAAAGCTCTAACTGGCACTATAACGGCTATAGCCGCTCACGCGATACATGCAGCCGTAGACGCATACCACACCTAGAGATGCCGGTGATGATTTTATACCGATTTATCGGATATCGAAGTTATAACAGGTAAAAGAACTAATATTAATTGCTATTTCGGTAACTACTCTAGCAAACCATAAAGTTTTTAATGCCTGGGTCTGTCATTTAAAAAAATAAATAACGTCAAAAATACGTCACGACAATCGTGTGTGTTATTGTTTGGGCTGGAGATTTCGGTGTTTATTTATTGAAAACATACCGTAAGTAGCGTTTTTTAAGTTTACCCTGAATATAAATGTTTATAAACTATACTTTAAGGAGTAATTTCATGGTAAACGTTAGAACCACTCAAACGGAATATTATCATATTTATCCAAGTACACCAAAAATTTCATTAGTGCTTTTTAAGTGCAGGATTTGCGGTGTATTACTGAATTTTATTTGAGATGTTTTTGTTGGTAGTACGGAGGGTATTTATTTAGCAATGCAGAATAATAATTTTTATTTATAAAAACTTGTATTTAAACTGAATTCTTTTCTATTTTGCGAAACCAAATAGCCGCCATTTTGCGGTAGGAAGAGCGCATCGCGTGAGC